TTCTCGGCCACGGTCATTCCCTCCCTTCTCTATGCTTGCGAAACGTGGACCCCCCTAATGGAACATCTTCGCCGGTTAGAAACATTTAGGCTGGCCTGCCTACGATCCATCCTGGGTTTAACCAGACTGGATTGTGTGAGGAGCTCACAAATCCTTGAAAGATCTGGGCAGGGTCCCATCGGTGAGCTCCTCCGGCAGGCAAGGCTGCGATGGCTGGGTCATGTAGCCCGCATGCCCAGCCACCGCATGCCGAAACAGCTTTTGTTTGGCCGGATTGAGGGGGCTAAGCGGGCGCGGCACGGGCTAGAGAAGAGATGGAGTGATGTGGTACAGGAGGACGTGGAGCTGAGTGGACTTGCCGATGACTGGTACCAGCGGTGTCAAGATCGGCCTCTGTGGAGGAGGCTCGTGAAGGATGCTACTGGGCAGTTGGAGGCAGTCGCCCTCCAACAACAACGGAGGGCGGAGGAGCGACGCTCACAACAGCGAGCGGAGCGCCGGGTGGCTAAAGCACAGCAGGTTGGCACAGTAGGGGGCACAGGTGGTGCATCAGCCAGTCATCTCAGTCAGTCGACCCGTGGCACCTGGGTCTGCCCCGTGACCTCCTGCCAGCGGGCGTTCGACACTTCACGTGGCCTCAGGGTGCACATAGCCTGGCACAAGCGTCGTGGTGACGTCACCGCCACTTAGTGGCGAATGGCGGTTGTTGTTGTTGTTGTTGTTATCTGTCTACGTCCATATGTGTGTGTAACTCCATGTGCGTGTATCTAAAGTGGATGTCTATGCGTGTGTCAGTCCATGTGTGTGTGTGCGCGCGCGCGCAAGTCCATGTGTTTGTGTGCAAGTCGATATGTCTGTGTGTGTCAGTCCATGGGCGTGTTAGTCGCGTTGTGTCCGTGGCTCCATGTGAGTCCGTGTAAGTCCATTTCTTTGCGTGTCTGTAGGTCCATGTGTGCGTGTGAGTGAATGTGGATGCTTTATTGACCTGGTCAAGGCCTATGATACCATCAGTAGGCCTGGCCTCTGGGTTGTTCTTCATACTTTCGCAGTCCCTCACCCTTTGCTCACGATCCTTAAGGACCTTCATGATGGTGAGCGGCCCCACGTCAAACTACGTGGCCGTCAGTCAGAGCCATTCCATCTACACCTTGGGGTGCGACAGGGATGTCCTCTGGCTCCCACATTATTTAACATATTTTGACCACGTAGTTCGTGAAGACTTCAATGGCTGCACCGGAGGAATTACCATATGGTACATATACAATGGGAGGCTGATCGATGCCCGGGTACGGTCAAGGGATGGCTCCCTATTGATCAACCATGTAATGTATGTCGATGCTCTGGTGAATCCTGCTCACCTCAGAGGAGGACTTGGTGGCACTGCTGCTGATCCTGGAGCTTGGCACTAAGAGGTGGGGCCTTACCATCAGCCCCTTCAAATCTAAGCACCTGGCTGGGTATTTTGTACCATCGGACAATCCACCCCCACAACTCACAATTTCTGATGCGCCAGTTGTGGAGAGATTGGAGAGATTCCCATACCTGGCCAGTGTGCTCATGACCAGTTCCGGTTTAACACCAGAGGTCTCACTCCAAATCAGTTGAGCGCCATTATCTTTTCATCGGCTGCGTTACGCTGTGTGGAAGCTACCTGGTCTCTCGCTCCACATGAAGCTCCAGGTCTTCTCGGCCACGGTAATCCCCTACCTTCTGTATGCTTGCGAAACGTGCACCCACCCAATGGAACATCTTCGCCGGTTGGAAACATTTAGGCTGGTCTGCTAATGATCCACCCTGGGTTTAACCATATGTTTGTGTGTGCGTCTAAGTCGATGTGTTTCTATGTGTGTGGGTCGATGTCTGTGTGTCAGTCCATGTGTGTGTCTGCCTTTTTCGCCCGGGCAACGCCGGGTACTTCCTGCTAGTACATTTATAAACAACCAGAAGTACAAACCACCGCAATTTTAACCACAGGACAACCGGGAACATGGACGAACAAACTGGCCAGCTACGACCTCCGAAAAGCAACCAAAGAGGCAAAAAGACACAGGGGACAAAGTGGAGTCGCAATTCAACAGTTCAGACACGAGACGAATGTGGCAAGGACTGCAGAGACAATCACGGATTACAAAGAGAAAACCAGCTGCTTTACGGACACCGACACTTCACTCCCAGACAAGCTGAACACCTTTTTTTAATTGCTTCAAGAAAACACCAACCCACCTATGCGGGCCCTCGCTGCTCAAGAGTATTGTGGGCTCTCCATCTCTGTGGCCGACGTGAGTCAGTCTTTCAAGCGCGTTAACTCTCGCAAGGATGCCGGCCCGAATGGCATCCCTGGGCCGCGTTCTCAGAGCATGTGTAGATCAGCTGGCTGGCGTGTTTACGGACATATTCAATCTCTGCCTATCCCAGTCTGTTGTCCCCACGTGCTTCAATAGGGCCACCATCGTTCCTGGAGCCAAGGTAACTGAACAAAATGACTACCGCTCCCCGCAGCACTCAGTTAAAATCAGATCTATGAACAATGCAATCGTCATTCCTCTACACACTGCCCTATCCCACCTGGACAAGAAGATTACCTAGGTGAGAATGCTGTTCATCGACTGTAGCTCCGCATTCAACACCATAGTATACTCCAAGCAGTCACTAAGCTCAGGGCACTGGGTCTGAACTCCTCCTGTGCAACTGGGTCCTGGACTTTGACAGGTAGACCCCACGTGGCGAGGGTAGGCAACTCCTCCACCACGCCGATCCTCATCAACAGCCCCCCCCCAGGGGCGTGTGCTCAGCCCCCTCTTGCACTCCCCGTTCACCCACAACTGCGTGGCCACACACGACTCCAACTCAATTAAGTTCTGACGACACGACAGTGGTAGGCCCGATCACCAACGATGAGGCAGCCTTCAATGAGGAGATTGGAGCCCTAGAAAAAATAACCTCCCTCAACAAAACCAACGAGCTGATCGTGGACTACAGGAGAGAGGGACGAGCACGCCCCCCCATCTACATCGACAGGGCTAGTGGGAAGGGTCAAAAGCTTAACATTTCTGGGCATGCATATCACCAATGCCCTGACATCACCACATCGAAAGTGCGGTGAAGGCACAAATGCCTCTGCAATCTCACGCGGCTGAATAAATTCGGCATGGCCCCTAAGACCCTGACGAACTTCTATAGATGCACCATTGAGAGCATTGTCAGGTTGCACCACCGCCTGGGACGGAAACTGCACGGCCCTCGAACGCAAGGCTCTGCAGAGGGTGGTGCGGTTAGCCCAACGTACCACAGGGGGCACGCTGCCTGCCTTCCAGGACAATTCCACCGTTCGGTGTCGTAAGGCCGAGAAGCTCATTAATGACCTCCGCCACCCGAGCTACGGACTGTACGCTCTGCTAACGTCTGGCAGACGGTATAGGAGCATCGGGTCTAGGACCAGACTCCAAGACAGCTTCTACCACCAGGCCATTAGACTTCTGAACAGCCATCACTAATTGTCTATCTGCCCTGTACTTGGACCTGCACCTTAAGGAGACATACTTGGTTCTTTCGGTAAAGTCACGTAGAAGGGAAATCATAAAATAATACAAGACCAACACAATTCTCACGACGTTTCGATTGCAACAAGCAAATCAGCATTAGGTGTGAAAACCACAGCAAGAACATTTTAAAATTTTCTTGCTGTGGTTTTCGTGACTTTACCGAAAGAACAAAGAATATGAATCCCTGCAGTCACGAAAGCTTTAAATCGAAACTTAAGGAGACATGTTTACACCAATACTCGCCATTTGCCACCAAGTGACGGGGACGTCACCGCAGCGCCTTTGTGCTCGCACAAACACCACGCAGTCTCTCACACAAAAAAACAGTCAACGCTGCTCTCCTTTGTGTAGAACGAAGTTGAACACTGGACACTTTCAATTTATATACCGAGTATACACAGTGCATTTATATATCGGATATTTCCATATTTTTACACTTTTTTTTTCAAAATTCTGATTCATTCTTTGTTAGCCATTCAATTGCAATGGTTTGGAGCTGAAAATCAGAATTTACCTTCACCCGCTGTAACATCAGCTTAACTGCGTGTGCGACCAATACACTTTGATTTGGATTTGAGCAATCACAAGCCAGCGAATGTTACTCGCTCAAGCACTGCAGCGGGCCTGTCCGCATTGCTCTGCGTGCTGCTCAGGTTGTGAGCATCCCTAATAAGAGTTTCACTTCCCCCCTGATCCCCCTCAATTCAGTTACATTTTAGGGGTCCCAAAGAAGACCCTGTTCGATGTGAGACGCGGTACATCCAACCACGTTATTCTAAGGACACTAACAATGTACAGACAGCACCTTTGCCAATCCACTGCTGGATGACTGGATGAAGGCCTCCCCATACCGTTGAAGCTGACGCATTTAAGTACGCAGGTGAGCGAGTGTTGGTTAAGAATATGTGAAGGGGGAGAAGAGGAGTGTCCAGGCCGCGTTCAGATAATACTCGCCACTGATGTTAGCCATGACTGCGAATCAAACTCTGGTACGGTGGGGTTCACAGCACAAAGCGTAAACCATTCGACCAACGTTCCATAAACCCATCCATTAAACAGTGCATGTATAAATTACAGATTGTCTGCAGTCCTGTATGTACGGACAGCACAGAATGTGATATATTATCTACAGCACGTCTTGTCTGCATAGCAAGTTGACCAGCTGGCACCCGACCTGTGGTGGTATGACACATGTATATAAAAACATCTTTAGTTCATCAGCCTATTGGCTTTCCGGCACAATATTACAAAGCAGCATTCGTATAAGAAATCTAACTCTGGACAGGTTTCAAACAAATGTTTCTGCATTCCCACGTGTTATTGGCAAGAGCACTCCGTATTTGTATATTAGATGCATGCAAAGTTAAAACAACGGCTGGTATGGTCTGTAGGTGTACAGGTATCGCATAAGTGTGCTCTTGTCACGATCCTCAGGTTAGTCCACAGACCAACACTTACCTGCAGGTAGATCGGAAAGCAGCACAATGGCCAGCAGCAACGAGAAACAGGAGAGGGTTGAGTCCATGTCTGCAACTTCAAAGAAATCGCTATCGACCAAGCGAGAGGCGAAGACACCCACCACCAGATATACCCGGGAGCTGAACTGACAATGTTCAAGCTGTGAGGCCACCACCAACTGGTTGGGTGAGCTCGTGTGGTGCACTTGTATTCGAAAAACCTCACCTGCACGCCCCCGACAACCAGGTCATGCCAGTTTAGCAGCAAATTAAGCACCATTGCATGATATTACATCCACTTATCAGAGATTACATAAAACATGGTGGCAAACATTACAGTATTACCAGACATGGCTCAATAGCGAAGCCTGCATGTAAGATAATTGTTAGCATGAATATACCTCGACAATTGTTGATTATTGCTGAGTGATGTGATTATTCAATTGATGTTGGATTGTCCATTCCAAATTCTAATTTCCTGTTTACTGCAGTCAGTGGTGGGAATTCCACATTCCTCTGGCGAAGGGGGGGAGGTGGCATCTGAACTAGAACATCTCGCTGTACCGCTGAGATCACCTGGCCGGGTTGATTATACTTCGCCATCGTTAATTATATACATCGAATCACAGTATGATCATATCACCCGGAATGTGCTCCATCATTTTAGATCTCGGAAGCTAATCAAGCTTGAGTCTGGATGGTGCTTGGATGGGCTACCACGACTCGTATTAACAGGTCCTCTCGGTGGCTGAGCGGCTACATTTTGTGCAGCAGAGGGCAGCGCAGCAAGATCCATTGCTCTACCGTACGTTTATGCTTCTTTGCAGTCTATTTTTCGCCAACCTGCACTGACCAGCGCGGTGAAGTATTGTCAACTAACCTCCCATGACCCGCACAGCGTGGGGGAGACCCTCATCCAGCAGTGGATTGACAAAAGCGATGTACGTGTAGATTAAGATGGTTTAAATGTGAACACGCGTGTTTATATGCATGTTTCAGTTCCATGTCCTTTACTTAGTTTGTTCAGTTGAGATTAAAATGCCAGCGATATATAAAAGCTGATACATGTAGAGTGACGTAGTATTTACAATCTCGTTGATGGTACTGTAATGTTAAACCATCGTCTACAATCCTCCACCCGTGTTGGGGACTCGGATCAAACGGGACTGTCGTCTCACACGCCCCGTGTTCAACCACCAACTCGGTCACCGCATCGCGCGCATTCTGCGGCCGTCTGGAATGCTCTTCCTTCCGGTACTATATTAGGAAGCCACTGGAGCTACGCACTTTTAAATCTAGATTGAAGACAAATTCTTTAGAACTAAATTGCGTGTTTAGTTTGTTATCCTTCTCCCGAACCTCTGGTTAGCACGGTTGGCTACGTACGGTGCGAAAGAAGTTCAACATAGTGCATACTACACTACAGGTCACAACACTTATCATTTGCGTATTCAATGCTCCTCTTTGAAATTCCTCTTCCCATCATTGTCTCTCTTGTTGTTGCGCACAAGCTCTTGTGTAACCTTCCCTCGCTCAATTCAGCAAACCTGTTATGCCCTTTTACATCTTGTGATTCGTGCTGCTGGCTTACTATCCACTTGTCGTCCTGGGCTTTCTGTTTGGCCTTTGCTCAGAAAAGCTGTGTTAAAATAAAATGTATTAATACCACTGTGAAACATAGGAGATGGACTCCTGACACTGCAGTAAGCACTTGAAAACCGTTGCTCCTTGGGGGAAACAGAAAGGTTAAACCAAGACATCGCGCTTAAAGTTACTTTATTTCTTGTTTTGTTTGGTTACGTTAGTCTACTTCATCCCCCTCTTCCCGCATGTGTGTATGTTGAACTTCTTTCGCGCCGTACGTAGCCAACCGTGCTAATTGGAGGTGCGTTACCATCGTCATTGTAAGTTCTCACAGCAAGGTGTGCGCTGGTGTCATACAAAGACCCCCCTTAACAGACTGTTGGGGAAAGTGCTCTTCTTCCCCTTACCCCGTTAATCTGCTGCGCCCATTCGTTGCTCCTACTGTGACAAGGCAGTGAGACCACGTGCCTCCAGACGGCCCCCCATTTGAGGGTGTATTATTCCGGGTTTGAAACATGTTCATAATCTGTGATGTCCGTGTTCTGGGTTCTTGAATATAAAAAAGACTGGAACATTTTATGACAATACGATCATTCAAAGCAAGGTCAAGTTATGCTGAATCTGAAAAACAGCTGTGGGGCCGTCCATAATTGACGTCACGCGATTTGGGACGATTTTTGACCCCCCCCCCCCCGCCTCATCACACGGCGTCACAAAAAGTCAGACCCCCCTCAAATATGACGTCATAAAACTCTGCCCCCCCCCAAAACCATGTTTCCATTTTGAAAATAAAACATGCTTCAAATCGCTTTAAACTATTGTCATTATAGTGCGTATTTAATGTGGCGCTGCACTCTGATGTAGGAGAAAATATGAATTAAAAAGTCTTTGATTAGGTAAAAAGTGTTGTCTATACTTATTTAAAGTTGCGCATTTTGATGTGACGTCACATTTCTCAAACCCCCCTCCTCGTCACACATCGTCACAAATGTCTGACCCCCCCCCCCCCCCCCAGGTGCGTGACGTCATTTATGGACGAACCCTTTAACACAGCAGTGACATTTTTAAGCACGAATGAATTAAATCTTTGAGGTTACGGTGATGTGGGGAATATATGACGTACTGGGAGGGACACGAGGCAGATTGACTAAAAGCAAATACTGTAATCGGCAAACACTGATTTTGTTGTCAATAAATAATATCTCTTAGTCCACCAAGTCCATTGGCTCTCCAGACCAATACAGTTCAATATTATGAAGCAGCATTTATTTTAAGTGAGTCAACTCTGGACCGGTTTCGATCTGCTCTTGATTACCATGCATTCTGCTCGAGTTCCGTGTTGTGGACCAACGTTTATTTTAATGTTTACTTGATTATAATATTTTAGGGGGGGCGCTATGAGTTACCATATTCTATGGTTTATATGATGCAAACAAAATGAAGCAAAGTTGTTGGTGCACCTTATGATCCGGTCAGTGTCTGCGTGTGGTGCGAGAGACCAGACTTGTATAGCTTTGATTCATAATCGTGCCATCGTGGTGAGATGTTAACTCCCTCGCCTGGTATGCAGGAGGTCGTGGGTTCGAACCCAACCCTGACGCCTGCTGTATATTTCGAGTTTGCGTGTCTCTCTCCCTGTGGTCGCGTGGATTCTTCTCCAGGTCCTTCGGTTTTCCCTCTACATTTAGAAATATGCATTTATAGTACTTAGCTGCTATAAATTTCCACTTGAAAAAGCACTTCGTTTAGCTATCATTTGTGGCCAGGTCGCTTCTGAAAAATAGATGTACAGCTCAGTTGAATTTAGTTTAAAATAAAATGCACAACTTTATTCATCCCGGGGACACGTTCGGAGTGCATCTTCCCGAAATGTGTAATCTAAGGAATTAATTTGCTCTCAAGGCTTGGATAAATATTTAATCATCATCATAAGCCATGATCGCAAGTCTTTGTGTTTTTTTCCAATAAACGCCTTTAGACCCTGTAACTTGGTAAAAACGGGAGATTGTTCCCCCCTCTTTTAGGGCTGTTTCCCCAGCCGAGAAAAAATGCGCTGTTGGCTTTAAATTACGATCTTCCTAAGCTATTTGGCAATCTCGCAGAGCAGTGAGCTCCATTCGTTGAAGAACACGTGGTTGCCAAACAGTTTTTTTTCCCCCACATGACTTCTCCAGAAAAAACTACTTGAAGTTGCTTTAAATTTTTGTTTTTAACTCGGTAGGACTCACACTGGCCCATAAAGTCTGCTGTTGACATTGTTCATCGCTGAACACTAAACACCAATGCTTTCAATTTCAGACCTGGAATTTATCCAAATTACGAGCGACACTCGATTTAATGGCATCGATTTTGTGTGTGTGCAGTTATTGTTGACTGAGGCTAAGACTACTATACGACGTCGCCATCTCGACAACATGATATGAGGAATTATGACTTCCTATACTTCTATACTAATTATAAACAATGAGTGACAGACGCGGATCTGGACCACGCAGTGTTTTTTTTAAATGTTTTTTTACATTCCTCGCTGCTTCAGCAGGCTTGTCACGATACGTTCCAAGATTTATTCGTTAATCCACGGCTGTGTCAGCTGCGATGTGCGATTAGTGCTAAACAAATACCGTACAGCAATGTGCACATCGCTTCCAAGAAAGAAACACGAGCTTGATATTTGTACCATACCTTGGTATTTGTAAATAACCAAACATTTGTGTTGATGTGGCAAGCATTATCAACTGAAACTTTCACAACCCACAAGAAAAAATAACCCCAACACGACCAGCATTTTTGTTGTTTTGGGTAATTTTTACACAACCAGTAAGTTTACCCATTAGATAGTCTTGAAATGAGACTTGGGACTTTTCACATCCACAACTCTGATGTGGACAATAGTGTGGACACAATCTCTGTCACTGTGATTTCCAAGTGTGAAAAGGTTTGACCTACATAATGTGTATTTTTGTGCAATAAAGAAGGACCGTTGCCCTAAACGTCGCCTATTATTTCCGTTTAAGGCTAAACATACTGTGTTATTGACAAACGAAGGTTTTGAGTTTTTTTTTCAAATGTAGTTTTGAGGGGAACAATTTTTGCACCGCATGCCCGACTCTGTGTGTAATTTTAATTTCTTTCGCACCATACGCAGCCAACCATGCTCATCGGAGGTGCGTCGTCAGTATCCGCCCCGTGAAGGGTTAATTCTTGTCCAGTAACCCATTCGTGCACGACGACTGTGTCACTGTCCTGTTCTCATCGCCGACCTCTTCACGCCATCATTGCTTGGTTAGAGACACCTCAGGACAGTTACAGACTGAGGCCTTTGGGCTCCAGGGAGAAGGGGCTTCAGCAGCTAAGAAACTCTGGGAATGGATCGTGCATCACGAGATTCCCCCGCAGACTTGGGCACAGATATGGCGGGCCTCTAAAAGCAGCCCAAGAACCCATACTCTTAAGCTCATTCAATTTAAATTCATTCAGGGAGCATACTTGAATTACAAAAGGGGGAAATTTATTGGAGGATTTTTCAGCCTGTCCAGTGCCCCGGGCACAATACAAACCTACTCCCAGGCCTCCAGGCTCTGCCATGACGTTATGAAACTCTGCCAGGGCATCTCGAGCTTTTTCAACGGCCTGTGCGGCACGAACCTCTCCCCATCCGTGAGGAGACTGGGGTT